GTCTCCGTGGCACGGCTGGGGGGGGGTGGGTTTGTACCCATGGGTGACGTGGCTCCTATCATGTGCAGGCCTGTGATATAAACACCTGCTCTAATGGCACATTACGGGGGCTGCAGTAACGCCATGGCATCTCCCATCACTTGATCCTTCTTAGTCTATTTACACGCGTTACAAAATTTGTCTTGTAAAATCCCGGCTCTCTCTCTCTCTCTCTCGCTAAATGTGATTTATTTCCCACGTCTAGCGGGCGGGCGGGCGGGCGGGGGGGCGGCCTCGCCGACGCCGCCCCTCTCAGCTTGGAGAGCGGCCATTTCCAGCCCTAAGTGTGCTTTAAAGTGCTGTATAATGACGTTTTTGAGCACAATGGCTTTCACGCGTTGCTGCTCCCCTAATTCGCTGTGAAAGAGATGTGTGTGCATCCTGACAGTCAAACGCGCACCCCCCACACACCCGCCGACCTTTGTCCCCCCCTCCCCCATCTCCGCCTTTCAACCCGATGAAAGCCTGCCTGACGAGCCCCCCCACGATAGCAGCTGGCTGGCCCCAGCCCCCCTCCTCAGTCAATCGCAGCTGTCATTATTGTTGAGGATTTGACCCTAGTGTAGAGCAGTGTGGGGGGGGGGTGCTGAAGAGCTGTCACCGCGGTGATGTTTGGGTTGCGGGGTGGGGGTGGGGGTTGTGTGGTTTGGATGGCTATTAGTGAGCGGCTCAGAAGATGGGAAGAGAGGGGGGAGGGATAATGGGATGTGTTGTCCTGTGGGGGGGAGGAGAAGGGGAGGCTGTTCTCAGGAATGAGCTGAATGGATGCAGGGCTGGTAATGTTAGTGTCTCGCTCACCTTGCTACAGCAGCACTGCGATTCCTATAAAAGGATGATGAGTGTTTTTAGCGGTATTACTTGCTTAATAATCGTCGCTTCAAACAGTGGGATCTTAATGAATCTTTACTGATAAAATTAACTTTTATTAAACTGTCTCTTAAAGTGTTTGGCTCTTGGCACTGGGACTGCGCAGTCTGCTGGGTGCTGATTGGTATGTGAGATGTGATTGGCTCCCAGCAGCATTGGTATGTGAGATGTGATTGGCTGCCCCGATATGTCCGTCAGACGCACTGACGGCTATTCCCTTCTCCGCAGCAGCAGCACCTCTCGCATGGCCACGGCCCCCCCGTGCCACTGACCCCCCACCCTGCCGGACTGCACCCAGCTGGCCTACCTCACCTGGGGGGCAGCGCCAGCTTGCTCGCCCTGTCCAGTGCCCTTGGGGCCCCGCCCCACCTGCCTGTCAAGGAAGACAAGAAGAGCAGCCACGAGTCGGACCACCACAGAGGTGAGCGGCCAGGCAAGATCGATTAGGCCGGTTTGGGGCAGCCCCCGGACTTACCTCTCCCCTCCCCCCGCTGCTCGCGGCTCTCACTGGCATCACCTAGATTTATTTTTTTAACTGCGGTTTTTCAAAGTTTCGGTTAAATCCGGAAGTCTGAACAAAGCAAGGAAAAAGACAATTCCCCCCCCCCCCTTTTTTCTTTTCAAGATGCGTTAAGGTTTTTTTTTCTTCCTCAGCTACTGTGCACAAAATAAATATTTGTAGCCTCTCAGAAGACAAGAGGTCCAAAAAGGCTTTCTATGAAGCCTGAGCCCTGGGTGTACCCCCCCCCCACAGTTTCAATCATTATTATTATTATTATTATTATTATTATTTTAATGGGTATAGGCTGTGTCCTGCTTGCTGTATTGAACTTAAGGAATGCTTTGTGCAGTGGTTGTGTGTTGTCGTTTCCAAACGGCATAAAGGAGACGGTGATCACATAAAAGAATAAATTCACTTTAAATTGCATATTAAACTGAGCTATTCAGGTTTAACAATCATGTGAACGGCAGCGGTAGTATGCTGTGAAGCAGGTCTGCCTTCGGAGTCCTCGGGCGCAGGACTGCCCGTTTTTACAGACGTGTACAATCACGTGTCGCTTTTCCAAGAATTGTTTAGAATTTGTTTTTTTGTTTTTTTTATTTTTTATTTTCAAGGTGTTACGGTTGTGTTTAGTCCCACGGCGTTCCTGAAAGCCGGCCGTGGGTGTGTTTTTATTTAAGAAGAAAAATGTTTTTTGTTTTTTTTTTTTTTTGTATTACAACCAAAACAGAAATGGAGGCACATGCCCAGTCGTGTTTTGTGGTTGACTTTAATGTCGCCGCTCCCGTCAAGGGCTTGGTCAGGGGTCGCTGATAGGCCAGGCCCGTGCACCTGTAGCAGGTGCCGAGGGCTATAGCCAGGACTTCCATGGCCAAAGGGGTGGGGTGGTTTGGGGGTGGGGCAGGGAGGCGGGTCTCTTTTTATACTGTAACGACTGACAAGAAATTGCACTTGAGTCTATTTAAAAAAAAAAAAAAAAAAAAAAAAAAAAAATTGACTGGTAACTTATTTGTATTAACTGCAAATATTGGAGCAGTAGCGTTGGCTGTAATGATTAAGATGGGACGCATGTAAACAATAAACAATTCTAGAGAAATGTGCTGTATTAGGATTGTTTGGTTTGTATAAATAAAATCTGATGGAAAACCTTGCATTGGCCCTGTGTTCCTAATTTCATTTTTTTCTTTTTCGTTTCTGCCTTTGCGCCTTGTTTCTGAACGGCCGTGTTTGTGCGTTTCTTGGTAACCACGGAAACAGAGAGGGAGCCGAGCACGGTAAGTACCCTTGATCTCCTCTTCACTCAATGCTAAAGCTCATCTGTCGATGGGCCGTCCGCCTAGTCGCTATTCTCCGGTTATGATTGTCTTCTCTGTGCCGCACCTCTGCTCCCTTCCTACCCGTCTTCTAGCTTGTGTACAGTAATCTATAGCAGAACAGTTGGGGCAGCTGCTAAACTTCAATAACGTGGTAGATGTACAGCGTAGCAGCTGCCCACTCTGTTGCATGCATGCCTTTTTGTGCTTCTGGGTTAATTCTTTAAATTTTTAACACTTTTGTGTGTGTGAGCATATCGTTTATTTTCAGCAAAGGCTTCTGCGTTGAATGTCTGCCGTCAGTAGCCACGTAACCTGCGTCGTGGCCCGATGCTTGTAGTTATGTTTCTTGGGAGGTGCACGTCAGGCTATGGCTTTGGGTGCGTGGCTACGCTGTTCACTGTACCGACGGTGTTGGTTCTACGCAGAAGTAGAAGTAAGTCGGCCTTAAGGCGTTTGAGGTAGTGTCTGTATTGCCGTGCTGCCAGCGACCGGTTGGACCTGTTCCGCTGTAGAACTTCCTGTGCGGGGCGCTCCAGAGAACGGGCTGTCTACAACCGGCGGACTCCCCCCGTCAGAGTGATGACTTCTTGGGGAAGGCTTTTGACGTGACGTGGCACATTCAGGGGAACCATGCAGGGAGTTTAGGTGTTAAGCTTCTGACCGTGATATGTGGCGTCAGCTGATGCGTGATGTCATCCAGGGCTGGATCCAGGTGTCGGCAAACTAGGCAGCTGCCAAGGAGCCGTTCGGCACAAGGGGACCCAGACAGAAAGTCCTAAAAAATGCATATATATGGCTGGGTGTGCCTGCGCCTGCGGCCCCTGAACGGCCTGCGCTGCGGTTGAAGTGAAGTGTTCATCACTTGTCTTGGTAGGGGGGCCCTACCAAGTGAAGCTTTGCCCCCCCCCCCCCCCCGTGCTGTGAGTGGATCGCGGGCGGATGTTACATGCAAACGCTCAATGACCGCAGTGCCACTGCAGGGGACATTGGAAACTCAGCTGTCACGAGCAAAGAGGGAACGCCCCCACCCACTGGAGGCACTCGACAGTTCAGTAGAGGCTCGATGCTCCTCTGTCTTCTAGTGCTTGTTGGTTTTCTTCCCCCCCCCCTTCCTTGCCACTGTTGAGGTTATATCTGTGGGCCCCAGTTCCTGCCCATCCTGGTCCCCACCCCCCAGTTGTCATGGCGTGGGGGCCTGATCATAGACATGCTAATGTTCAGGCCCAGCCACATCTCACATCTGCAGCCCCTAATCCTGGGCCGTTGGGCTCCTTTGTCGTAAACAGCCAGAGGCCAAGACGTGTCAATCCTCTGTCAACAGCCCGGACAAAAGGAAGCCTAATTGAGGATTTACGGGTGCTTAAAACCCGCATGTGGATCGTTCTTGACTGTACAGACATCTCCTATGCAGTTTGAGTTCACCCCATCCAGTCCGATGAAACTTGACCGGTGGTTCTGATCCATTTCTGCCTGCCTCAGTACGAATCCGGCATGATGTAGCAGGCTGCTACAACAATGACCTAAACCCTGAAGCAACCTAATGGTGAACCTTCTAAGCTGGATTTGGTGGTCGAGACCCGACGGCCTGAGCTAACCATGGTGGCTGTGTGGGGATACGTTCACATGATGGATTTTCTGGGTGGATTTATGGCGCTTAGTTGCTTGTGCTGTTAGTCATCTCGGTGACCTCACTAAATTGCAGAACTACTTTGTTCCCGTAAAGTAGGAAGGCTCTGTCCTGTTGCAAGACTATTGCAGTGTTATGGAGGTGTTATGTGGAGAACACCCCCGGGGGCCGTGATGGCTGGAGTTCCAGGGAGGATCATTACATCCTCGCTGCCTCCCTGTGGCCTCGTTCTTGGGTCAGGGTGGCCTTTCTCACAGGGTGTTTTGTGTGAGAGCCCTGCAGCAATTTCTTCTTGTGTCAAGTAGCGGGTCGTCATTTTTGTTTTTTGGTATTCATTGACCTTTGACCTTGTAGAGATTTGTCTGGTTAGCTGAAGTTATTTTTTTTTCCCCCAACGCATCTTGCAACTTATTATTTTTTAAGCAGCCAGCCTCTATCAGTATCAGCCCCGGAGAAGCCCTTGTGATCAGGCTTTTGCCCAGAAATTAACATCTGACGCAAGATTGATCTTCAGACGTGACTGGACTGTCAAAACAAGATCCATATCAGTTTAGCTGAAAGTCTACCTCCAGGCAAACTGTCTGCTGACTTAAAATATGCTGGCGCGCGTAATGAAACTGGAAATCAGAAATGTAGCCCGCAGCCAGAGTAGTCCTTGCTCGTCTTGCTGCTTGGCGGTTTGATTGCCTTTCTCGGGGCAGGGGAGGGGGGGGGGGGCGCCCAATCAAGGTTTATCAGCGATGCTCTATCGATCATCGTTTGTTTATATATTTATATTCTGGTTTCGGTGTTTCTAATAGTGTTTATTCATCGCTGTATTCTGATTGGTCACTGGAGATGTGACCCCCCCCACCCTCCCTCCCCCAGCCAAACATGTCTTCGCTGCTCCCCTTCTGCCTTTGGCTGGCTCTGGGGTTCCTCTAACTCTGTCCTCTCAAACATTACTTGTCCCCCTGTGATGCTCCGTAAGAGCATAACTCAAGAATGACCCAAACCTGCTGTCTGCCTGACCTTTGTGGCTGGGCTGTGTGTTTCCACCCTCGTCATATACAGTATGTATCTTTCTGGCTGCTTAAGTGGCTGTAACTCGGGACGACATGTAACATCGCATGTAAAACCATATTCCCATGATGCACCTCAGCTTTTTACTATGCAGCTTAACCCTGGCCAGTTCCCCCCCCCCCCCCCCCCATGGCACCCCTTTCCTTATCGGCGTGGTATAGCCTTCGCCATCTGCATGTATCTGAACGTGAATCCTCCTTGGCCTTGGTTTCCTTTCGATGTGCGTTTGAGGTCTCGCGTGCGACTCCGCTTCCCGCCCGGCCTGAAGTGGCAGAGAAGAGGGCGAGGTGAGTGTCGCATAAACGTGGCGGCGTCACTTCCGGCCCCTCGCACCCTGGCGCCGATATGAGCCTGTGACCGGGGCGAGGGATTCCACACCCCTGGGTGCCAGGGGGCCGAGGTTGTGTGTTCACGGCTTTGCACGTTGGTGAATCGCGTGTCCTAATTGAAGAAGAAAAGAAAAAGGTTGTGGGTGGAGCTTGCAACCGTGGTAACAACATGCATGTTGTTATTGGAGAGCTGTGAAACGTGTCGGGGAAAGTGCTAAGGACAGGAACCAATCGGAGCGCTCTGTCAGCGTGTGTGTGCCAGCGACAGTGGGAGATGCTCCCCCCCCCCTCCTCACCACCATGCTAGAATAAAAATAAGGGGGTGCGGGGGGTCATGTTTATGTAGCTGGTGCGACTGGATCATCTGTTTCTAATATGTATGTTGTAGATGATAAGTAGGTGAAACCTACATTTTCTAATTAATTTTTGAAACACAGATGATTATTTGAACCTCAGGAATAGAGGGGTTTTTCTGTGACCCTTGGCCGTCCCCTGTTTCATTTTTAGCACGGGAGTTAAATATTGACCCTGTGATTTGCACGATCGTAAACAACATGGCAGATGGGGGGGGGGGGGGGTGTTGTAGGATGACACTGTCACCCTCCCTCAGCAGCCCCCACGTACCCCTCCTCCAAATGAGGGTTTAGCAGGGTCTGGTGAAAAGGGTTCCTACACAACTTATTCAGCATTGTTCCCAGCATTTAACACATCACTGAACAAATTGCCTCCTTGGATATGTTAATCCCAGTCTTAAAAGAGCTCATTGTAACGTGTTTTAATACTGCAGCCGGAGGGGAAACTGCAGTGGGGGGGGGGGGGGTGACCAGGCAGGCAGAATTGTCATGTGACCTGAGAAACATCAAAATCGTGTGTATTTTGCGGGTCAGTACTTTATATTCCGAGGTCTTTTCAATAATTTACCCTGGTGTGAATACAGTTATGGTCCAAAAAAAGAGATTCTTTAAGCGCCTGACCTTGTGACCCCCCCCCCACTACGCAGGCACGCACACACCCTGTAGACTTGTTGTCCAGTGTCTGGATGCTGTGACACATTTTGTAGTGCAGAGTTTTTAAAGTTTATTTTACATAATGGTTCAGCGATAATCCCCATGGGGGGGCAATGAGCCCCCGCCGACGTCGGGTGCTGCTCAGCTCCCCGCCCCAGAAAGAGGCGTTGTTCTGCCCAGGATTAGTGCCATTTATCTGCGGCATTATAGTGATTTAGGCAGAGATTGGGGGGGAGGGGAGGGGGGCTGCGACATTCTCCCCCCTCGGTAAAGGGGCGAGTGCCATCCGGAGCGGTGCTGGCTGGGGGTGGGTATTCATATGCCCTATGTTTGCCACTTTTTTTTTTTTTTTTTTTAATTTTAAAGAAAATCCAGCGAAATGAGCGCTGGGAGAAGTTGCTTATTTGACAATAAGATTTGTCTCGTTAAATCTCCTTAACCGCGGCTTTGCGCAAAGCCGCCAGAAGCTTTAATATGCAAATGGCACAACAAAAGTCTGTGTGTCAGGAGTAATATTAGCAGCTAATCTGTGACGGGCATGCTCATGAATATTCCGCTGGAATGCGTCCGTTTGCCTGGGCAGGGGGTTGGTGCGGGTTGTGATTGGAGCGGCAGGGCAGACACTAATGTGATGTGGGCAGAGTGTGAGCCCGTCCTGACGATCAGGGTGAGGTTCCAGGACCCGTGGAGGTGTCACCTTGCACCCCTTCGATGTTTGCAGCATGGTTCGGACCATGGAAGGAGGTCTTCTGTCACTTATCCGCGGGGCCTCTCGACCCTGGGTGTCAAAGGTTTTGGTGTGCGGTGGGGCAGAGGTTTGCTTAAAATATACTGAACCCTTTTCACTCTCTCCCCCTCAGAGTAACTCGCTGCTGGTGCCAGACAGCTTGCGGAATTCCGACAAACGGAGAAACGGACCTGAGTTCTCGGACCCAAAGAAGAGGAAGGTGGATGACAAGGACTCCAGCCATTACGTAATACGAAGCGCTAAAACCCAGCAATTCCATAATCAGCACGGGATGCCCTCGTAGCCTCTAGACTAATCTGCGTCCATTCAGGCTCCATTAGTCTAATCTCTTACTCCATCTATGAGGAGTTTATCATGGTGGAACTTCATGCTTCAAGACGCATGGCTGATTGTTCAGTTGCCTCCTGGCCTGCAGCCCATCTCCCCCCCCCCGCCCCAGTGCCCAGCCACCCCCCCTTACACTGCTGCCATGTTCCCACAGGACAGTGATGGAGAAAAGAGCGATGACAACCTTGTGGTGGATGTCTCCAATGAGGTTGGTGTCCTGGACTGCTGTGTGTGTGTGTGTGTGTGTGTGTGCAGCTCCTCACTGGGAGATGTGATGCTGAAGCTGCTGAGACACTCTGGCCACCATACCAAGTGTGCTACCCGGCTCCTGACCTGGGCCTCTGGACGCCTCCCTAGTTTGCCTGGTCCATTGGTGCCGATGGCCCTTGTTCTGCTTAGCCTCTGCTCCAGGAATCCCAAGAACGCTCGTTTCTCAATCCCTGAGATCTGAATCAGAAGTGTTTATTCGGTCTGATGCTCGTGGCTTGACACCTCCTGCTCCTCATCGGCCACAGGACCCCGTGTCGCCACGCGGGACGCCCGTGCCCTCGCCCAGGGAGAACGGCCTGGACAAAACACGTCTCCTGAAGAAGGACGCTTCGAGTAGCCCCGCCTCCACCGCCTCGTCTGCCAGCTCCTCCTCCCTGAAGTCCAAAGAGCTGGGCCTGGTAGGTGATGTCGGCGTTACGCCGTGGTGACAGCGCCTGATCCTGAAAGGTCATTGCAATGGCTGCATTTAATGTAACTTTAGCTGGCAGCTGCCTGCAGATTAGCGTAGCATGACTGGCCCGAGGCCCGTCTGGTCTCAGGAAACCCAGTAAACGCGGGGAGGTGCCAGAGGGCAAGACTGTAGGGTTACCTGGAGATAAATTCCTATACACAACAAACCGTGCTGGGCAGCAGCTCCTGAACCCCCTGCTGTGGTTCCAGTGTCAGCCTTTGCTGTAATGTGAGACGGAGAAGGGCTCCGGCGGAGACCCGGGAACACTCATGGGGTACCTGGAACCGGCAGGGGTCCCGGTTCTGTTTGGCCCTCTGGATGTCTCTGTCTGTTCTGTCCTGTTAGCTTATCAAATCAACATGCAGGATTTTTTTTTTGTCACTGTGATAGCACGAGAAAGCTAGCACGCCTGTGCTGAAGTCCAACACACCTACCCCACGGGGCGACGCCACCCCCGGGACCAGTGCAGCGCCTGGGCTGAGGCCCAGCCTCTCCAAGCCTCCCTCGCTGGAGCTGCCCCATCCACCCAGTAAGAGCGTGGCAGCGGATGCTGGCCCTTTAAGAGGACATGCTGGTGTCTGAGCCAATCGCCGCTTGGGAAATGAATGCATCTGAGCTATTTAAACTGGGGAAGATGAAAACGCTGTGCTGAACTATAATAAATAATAATAATATGGGTGACGGAAAGTGTCCGCCTGAAAGGCGAGCTTACCAGCGCTGTTGATATTAGTGCTATTATCGCAAAGAACAGCTTGTTTATATTTGAGGTGAGTCGTTTTGTTCTGCTAAACTGGCGTGTGAGAGATCTTTTCATTGAACTGTTATGTATCTGTGCCCCCCTACGTACTGGTTCTGCCTTATTTAGGTTTATGTTACGGCTCTTCGTCCTGCAGGTTGCAAGATGTTACCTACCCCCCCCTGCTGCAGACTGCTGGCTGACTTAGACTGCTGGCTGACTTAGACTGCTGGCTGACTTAGACTGCTGGCTGACTTAGACTGCTGGCTGACTTAGACTGCTGGCTGACTTAGACTGCTGGCTGGCTGACTTAGACTGCTCATTAAACCAGTCAGCAGGTTAAAAAATGAGCACAATTACTGCCTGGCCGTTTTTTTTTTTTTTAAGAACAACAAAAACTGTCTGGCTTTTTACACTTAAACAGGTGGAATTAATTAAGTACTTATGAAGCCCCCTCTTGTTTACGCGCAGGCTGATACAGAAGGACCAGTACTCATGAGGCCTGATCTGTCCCTGCCTGCCTCCCCCATGTCCCATATGGACTGTTTACATGCGGATTCCACACACATTGTTTGAATTTTCTTAGTGGGCAAATTCATCTGCTATAAGTCAGTCTGCCTGAGGTCATTTTTCCCACATGACTGTTGTGTGGCTGTCATTCCTTCAGACAGTTAATGGTTTCTTGTTTTCGGATCTGCAGCAGGCCTGCGGACCCCTCTGGCGGTGCCGGGACCGTACCCGGGCCCGTTCGGGATGGTGGCACCCCACGCCGGCATGAACGGGGACCTGACCAGCCCGGGGGCCGCCTACGCCGGCCTGCACAGCATCCCGCCGCAGATGAGCGCGGCGGCGGCCGCGGCGGCTGTAGCGGCATACAGCCGCTCCCCCATGGTGCGTTGCATTTTTGTGCGCATGTGTATACACTTCCCCCTGTAGGGGGCGCAGTACAAAAGCCCAGTGGATGGACCATTTCTGAAAGGTGAAGGTGTTTAGTTTTTAGATGCCCACGCTTCAGTGGAAGTCAGCCTGACTGTGTTGAGTTCTCAGCCAAACGCTCTCTGAAAGCCAACACGGTAAACGTTCAGCGTTAAACTCGAACCAAAGGCGTTTTTTACCCTCCGCCCTGTTTAACAAGCGCCAGAATCTGCCCATGAAACTGTGGTCGCCATCTGCTGCTGCTTCCTCCCCCAGACTGATACATCTCCCATCTAAGCGTCTCCAGTTTCCTGACGGCCGAGTGTGAGTACGGTCGGGCCGCGGTGCTGAAAGCAAACCGTCTGTGATGCCAGCTTTTTGGAAATGCTGCAGTTGGGTCACGAAAGGACCTGGCCCGGTGGTACACTGGTTTGGGTGCATTTTGGCAGGCGCTCTCCCCTGTCCTTGTCGAGGGACGTGGCCCCACAAAGTACTTTCCATTGGATTTTTGGAACCGTTGGGTCTGTCTTGCAGGATGTGCCTCTCAGAGCAGCGTCGTGTCTGACTATGGGGGTGGGTTTCAGTATGTGCTGCGTTTCCATGGTGACTCCTGATTGAAACATGAGGCAGACCCAGTTCCCTTAAAACACCCCATTTCTCAGAAAGTCGTTATTGTGCTTGCCGGCCCTGTTGCATCCTGGGTAGTTTCACTGAAGCCCCCCTCTTCCCTAAAGCAAGTATTTATTAGCATATCAGGCTAATTTATCGAAGCTGTGGTCTGGAGAGCGTACAGCCTTATTGGGTTTAGCTGTGCGCTTGGCGTCTCAGCAGGAAATAAGCATTCTGCTTCGGGATGCTTGTTTTAGCCCCTCTGCCGTGATTTTATTAGCGCAGGCATATTTTCTCGACATGTGGAAATAAGATTAAATCATCTCGCGCTGCCCATTTGTAACCCAAATTCAATTTGCAATTAGTGCTCATTTTTATATTAAATCTTTGCTTTAGAAGAGTCGCTTAAACAATTTTCCAATGCATATTTAAGATTCTGCATTTGCAAAATGCAGTTTTGCCTGTAGCCTGGGTTCTACATTTTTAAAAAGGCGCTGAATTAGAGGAGATGTTTTGGTGGAAGTGGGGGTGGGGGGGGGGCAGGCCTGTGTGAGCGTGTGTTTCCTGTCTGTGCACATGTACACATGCCCTTAATCAGTCTTGATTGCAACAGCTGTTTCTTCTGTTTGTTTTTTGGATCAGGTTGGCTTCGACCCACATTCTCACATGCGAGTATCTGGGATTCCTCCCAATCTGTCTGGCATCCCAGGAGGAAAACCGTAAGTGAGCCCCCCCCCCCGCCCCGCCCCGCCCCGCATTCGACCAAACCGGAAAGTGGGACATCTCTCCATCCGGCTGTTTGTTTGTACAGGCCTTGTTATAAAGGTCAGCGATTTATAGTCATGCGTTGCTTAATGACAAGGATTATGTTCTGAGATCATATAGTGTGCTTATACAAACCTAGATGGTGTAGCTACGGTATAACTGCAGACCTGGGCTATATGGTGTAGCCTAAATAACAATAGAAAGTACAGTATAGCAAATGCCTGAACCAGTAACGTAGTTATTATCAAACATTACGTACTGTGTATAATTATACATGTCGTACCTTCATACGACTGGCAGCATAATATGCTTGTTTACACCAGCATCTCCACAAGCACGTGAGTAATGAGTTGTGCCACGATGTCACGATCGTTATGATGTCGCTAGGCTCCATGGGACCCGCATAGTATAAGTGGTTTACCGTTGACCGAAACGTCGTTATGTGGCGCGTGACTGTATTTCTCGGTTTCGGGTTTTGGGTGCCCGCTGCAGACTTTAACACCATTGTAAACCCTCTGAACTCATGCCAGCTTTTAATGAAAATCATTATAATGCAATATCCAATCACCATTCTCCCTCACCGGTCTGTCAATTATATGAGCTTATCGGGAGCTAGCTAATGCTATCCCCAGCCCTTATATGCATTAGTTGTTGCATCAGCAGTTTGAGAGTAATCAGGGGTGAACTCGTTACTGGACTGTTAAGTATGTTAATGATACCGTAAATGTTCATGTTAAGTAGATTAGACTGTATTTGTTTGATAATGTTTAAAGTTTATATTGTTAACGAGTAAAACCCCCTTGTCTCGTCATTTTGCCGTTTATATGCTTGTACCTTGTACATTTAATACTTTTTTGTATGTTAATGGGAATTCCAAAGGTCACTGTCATTCAATGCAAAACACTTAAGCCTAATATCACGTTAATTTCTTGAGTATCTTGGCTCTCTGCTTTATCGCATGCATTTCCGTACCAGTCTATTTTATACACGTCATTAACACAGCAGTAGCGTGTTGTTGCAATAATCGATCTCACAATATTTATGACGTGCTACTGCTGTTAGTGGTTTGTTTACGTTATTAATAGTTTATTAGTATATGGTCAGTTATAAATGTTTGTGTTGTTTAATAGGTAAATGTTATCTTTCCTATATTTTTCTGTTTTCAGAAACCACAGGTGATTTGTAAATAGCTTGTATATAGTACTTGATAATAAGTGAGAGTGCATGGCATGGAGCTGTATGCGTAAATAAATCTCAATTGGACATTCTCATCACCTGTTCTTACCAGAACAGCCTGTGGAGATTGCAAAGTGAGCCAGAACAAGCAGTTTCATTAGAGAGGCCACAAGATTGGACTCCCACACCAACATCCCCCAAACTGAAGCCAGGTGGGGGCGGCCCTATCCCGGCGTGAGGGTCATGTGATTCCTCAGGAATAGGGGCGGCCCTATCCCGGCGTGAGGGTCACGTGATTCCTCAGGAATAGGGGCGGCCCTATCCCGGCGTGAGGGTCATGTGATTCCTCAGGAATAGGGGCGGGATATAAGGTTTCTTTCTACTTCCCACTGGCCTCCAACCCCCTGCTTTCGGACTCGATCCATGTCCTCACAGCCTCACTGCAGGTTTACGGAGACACAACGTTTGCACGTCATGAATTAAAGATGGCGTCCCCTACCTGGGGGGGGGATGTTACAAGGTACTTCTAAATAAAAGACCCTGGGACCCCTGAGAAACATCTGTAAATGCTGATACTTCTCCCTAAGAATGACTGAATGTGTTTCTCATTAAGACGCGTGCGGTGCTTGAGGGCCTCTCGTCTCTGGCTGCTTTAGGGCCCCCGGGCCCCCGTCCTGCTGACAGCAGAGCTGCCTTTGATTTAGTGCCTGATTTACATGGGAAGTGGCCATGGGAGGCGACTGTCCGCCAGACGAATTAAACATTTAAGAGCTGCAGTGAAGTGGCTCACCTTGTGGCTCCGGCAGGATTAGCGAGTCGTCGCATTAGCATTGATTTGTTGCCGGTTTGTTCAAGAAGCCACCCTGTCCCTCATCCCTCCCCAGGGCCTACTCCTTCCACGTGAGCGCCGACGGGCAGATGCAGCCCGTGCCCTTCCCCCCCGACGCCCTGATTGGCCCAGGCATCCCACGGCACGCCCGCCAGATCAACACGCTGAGCCACGGCGAGGTGGTGTGCGCCGTCACCATCAGCAACCCCACCCGGCACGTCTACACGGGCGGCAAGGGCTGCGTCAAGGTCTGGGACATCAGTCACCCTGGCAACAAGAGCCCCGTATCCCAGCTCGACTGCCTGGTGAGCGAACGTGCCGTCTCTGTCGTTAAGAGGGTGTCGGCGGGACCCAGAAAACCACGAAGCAAGGCCTGGCTGCTGGGTGCGTGGGGCAGGCCGGCTTGGGGGCTGGGTGCGTGGGGCAGGCCGGCTTGGGGGCTGGGTGCGTGGGGCAGGCCGGCTTGGGGGCTGTAGTTTCCCCAACTTCTCTGCACCTTCAAGGTCGTTTCCTTGACGGCACATTACGGTGGCGGGCGGCTGTTTGTCGTCTTCCCACTGTCCCCGGCCGCCCCACAGTGTTCTGGATCTAATTAGCGGGCCCGGTTGTGTCAGGTACCACTGTGAGGTGGCCGTCTCAGGTCCCGTGTTCCCCCAGCTGCCTGGATGCAGCTTTCTCCCTCCCAGTAAATCCCAGCAGATGAACAGTAATAATAGCCAGCAGAGTGCCTGGTGCTTAAAGCACACGCATACCCCCCTCTGAAGAGTGCCCCCCCATCCTCAGCCGTGTGGCAGCTGCCATTGACCTCCTGACTGGGGTCGAGGGTATGGAGAGGCACGTACAGATCGTGTTTGTGTAAGGTGCTTGCTGGAGCTGCCGGAACAAGCCCCCCCCCCCCCCCCATCTCGTCCCGCAAGTGCTCTGCTTATTTATTTATTTAGCCCTTTCGAACTCGCCGGCGGACAGCGGCGGATGTGGAGAAGGGCCTCCAGCGTGGGGGTATCTCCACATACGTCTGCTATCTGGTAATGAGATTTATGGAAATATCTGTGTCTGCCGCTGTAATCCTGACACCGGATGCATTTTTCTTCCCCCCCCTTTCGTTCCGAACCCTCAGAACAGGGATAACTACATCCGCTCCTGTAAGCTCCTTCCCGACGGCTGCACCCTGATCGTGGGCGGCGAGGCCAGCACCCTGTCCATCTGGGACCTGGCCGCCCCCACCCCGCGCATCAAGGCGGAGCTCACGTCCTCGGCCCCCGCCTGCTACGCCTTGGCCATCAGCCCCGACTCCAAAGTCTGCTTCTCCTGCTGCAGCGACGGCAACATCGCCGTGTGGGACCTGCACAACCAGACCCTGGTCAGGTGAGAGCCCCCGCCCGTGGTCCCGATGTGTCACCATTATCCTGAGAGAGCACTGTTGGGCCTTTCCAGGGCAGCTCCCCCCAGCCCAGCCGCACACTATGACCAGGACCTGCGTGCTTTTTATTTTTCATTTATTTTTGCACTGCCTCTTATGGAAAATCTGATTAGAACTCCGAAATAAGCAGAACGGGTCCGGTGTTGGGTCACAGAGAGATGCTAAGGATGCAGCCTCGTCTGATACCCTGATGCTCCTGAGCTGGCCGGTAGCAGCCCCCCCCCCCCCCCCCCGTTTTTTCTGTCCGGGGGGGGGGGGCTGTCCTTGCTGCTGACCTGCAGAGGTGTGTCTGCACCACTCCCTCCTTCCCAGGATGATGAGCCCTTCTGGACATACAAGGGCATGACCCCCCCCCCCCCCTGGCATGTGAGCCCCTTGTCCTGGGGGGAGGGGGCTAAATTTAGAGGTCATGCCCTAGGAGGATCATCATATTTTCACCAGATTGTTTAGACGGCTCTGTGATGTTGGAATTTGCCGCCTCCCCCCTCCCCCAGTGCAGCATCTCCCAGTAAAAGTGTGGCTTCGCTGGAAGCCGATCCGTATAAGTGGATGTTCATTCCGCCGCTTATTTTTCCAGCTGCATCCTGGTGCGTTTTCCTCCCACCTGGGAAATGTTTACATAACATAAGCGCTGCGCATGCTATGCCGGGGTCTGTTTATCCAAACGCTCCAGCAGACGCCTTAGCGCGAAACAAAAAGGGCCACGTTTATACTGGCTCCAACAGTAACAACGTGACCGTGTTTACCTTCGGCTCACTCAGGAAATCTTTATTCAGCCTGTATTTATTTTACCAGGCAGTTCCAGGGCCACACGGACGGAGCCAGCTGCATTGACATTTCCAACGACGGCACCAAGCTGTGGACGGGGGGCCTGGACAACACGGTGCGCTCCTGGGACCTGAGGGAGGGCCGGCAGCTCCAGCAGCACGACTTCACCTCCCAGGTAGGGCCCCGTCCCCTCGCCTTTGGCCGTCCCACACCCCCTTGCGACCCCTCCCCTTCCCTTTCCGAGCCCATTTTCCATCCGGGTAAGGTTACAGCAGCGTATCTGGAAACCTGAACCGCTTTGATCCCAGCAGAAGTGGGGCCGTAACGTTGTTAGCCTTCTGGTACCTTCCTCCTTGTCGGTGTCTGGCTGGCAGGGATGCTCAGACATGGCGGCCGTCTCTTCAGGTTGCCTGCGCTCTGAAGTGTTTCCTGCGTGTTCTGTTTTATCAAGCCGCATTTAAAATCAGCCGCAAACAAAAAATGTTTTGTGTTCCTATTAAAAAAAAAATATATATATATCACAAATGCAATGGAAGCATTTTTCTATAACTGCGACTGGCAAAAAAGCACAGGTGTGGAATGAAATAGTAACTGTGTATTCAGCAATCAATCATGCGGGGTCCCACCTTAGTCACCTGCGTGTTAAGTGGAGGTCCACATTGTCCCGATGGGTGCCCTCTGACCTCTGTCCTCTTCCGGCAGATCTTCTCCCTGGGCTACTGTCCCACTGGCGAGTGGCTGGCCGTGGGCATGGAGAGCAGCAACGTGGAGGTCCTGCACGTCACCAAGCCGGACAAATACCAGCTGCACCTGCACGAGAGCTGCGTGCTCTCTCTGCAGTTCGCTTACTGCGGTGCGTGCTCCCCTAATACTCTCCCCTGTCACACCCCCACCCAGTCCCTGACTGGCCATTGGAGTGCGGAGGCACACGAGTGTATGAGCAACCCTCCTCAGCCTCTTTCCTGGGGAGGGGACGGTGGTGAGGTCGCCCCTTAGATCTGCCCCTGGTACTGAAGTCAGAAATGGCATTCATAGTATAAGGCTGGACGATGCGCAGTATTAACAGCAATGTCGCATGCTATGCACATGCAGTTCTCATGTTGCAAGGACTGCGACAGTCAGCTGGGTTGAGGTCAGGCTTTTTCGTGTTTTCATATGGAGTATGCTTCTTTTTTTACTTGATAAATATCACAATATCACAAAAAAAAAAATCAGATCACAAAATATTTCCAAAGTCTCGCAAGGCTATTGCATTATAGCAAATACATTATTTCTTATCTTACCATCCAAATCCCGCCAAATCTGTTTTTCAAAACACATTACAGTTGGGTCACCACTTGGGTCTAATTTTTCCACGCATCCATTATTACTTTATATTTATTTATTTATTTTTGCTTTGTTTATCATTGTTTTTCTTGAGCTTGTAACTACGCTGTTTTAAGGTGGCGGCTGTATTTTGTTTGCGAAGCAGGTTATTTGCATAAGTGATTGACAATAAACACCAAAGTACTGAAGTACCCAGTGAGTCCCGCAGCTGGTCTGGTACTTCTGTACTGGTATCGGACCAGAATTCAAAGGGGAAAAAAAGGCAGTTCTGATTTTTTTTCTTGTACCTGGTGCGGTGGAAAAGCACCCATAGCTGAACTTACGCATTTCGTCTGCAGGTAAATGGTTTGTTAGCACTGGGAAGGACAACCTCCTTAATGCCTGGAGGACACCGTATGGAGCCAGTATATTCCAGGTGAGAACCAGTCTGCACTGAGACCCAGCACTATATGATGAAGCTGGTTTTTCAGTTAGATGCTTGGAACTTGTAATTATCTTGTATAAACACCTTCTATGGAGAGTCAATGCATTCTGCATGGACACAGAGCCTCGTTCACTCTGTCTTCTGGTGACTGGTATAAGAAGAGAAACTTTTTTTCTCATGCTGAGTTTGTTGATATATTTGTAGGGTGATTCGAGACCGCATATGGCTTTGAACGTGGAAAATTGAACATGGAAGTGTTTATGTCAGTGGTACATAAATGCCTTTGTTCCCTTTGGCAGGGTCCTGCTTAATCAAGTGTGGCTTTTCATCTGGAATTGCTTTAAAATGTATAATGAAAGTATTACAGGCCTTAAATGTTTAAAAATGTAAATGTGAACAGCTGTTCGGGGAGTGTCGAGCGTGTCGAGCCTGTTTCCCTGACCCAGTTCTGTTCTCCTTCATTCCCAGTCCAAGGAGTCGTCCTCCGTGCTGAGCTGTGACATCTCTGTCGATGACAAATACATCGTCACAGGTTCCGGGGACAAGAAAGCCACAGTCTATGAAGTTATCTACTGAATACCAAAGTTCTCTCCTCACCTGCCCTTTTTTTTTTTGTAAATGTCTGATTTCTCAGACGGCTCTGCTTGTCCCTTTCCCCCCCGGGGACTCTGCGGCAGAGGCCGATGCGGGGATGGAAACTCTGAGGGGGGATTCGGACCCACGGCACAGGAGTTTCTTCAGGATGTTTATGCCGAAAGAGGGGCTGCTATACCATCAAGCCCTCTTGCCCTGGCCCTAAGTGACCTCTGACCTCCTGTGACTTGTCCCATCCATTTGTACCCTCTTGTTTTGGTGGTCTAGCAGATGTACAAATTGTAAATATTCGGTTTATTACAGCAAATGCTTTAGTTACTGCAGGAATGTTTGGTATACGTCTTAAAGAATAACCTAGTAAGGGTAACTCTTGATCTAAATGCTATCTAATATAATTTGAGGGATTCGTCCACACAGGAAATGTTTTTCTAACAATGTTTCACACTCGTTTTCAGAAATTTTGACTATGTTCAAGGTGTTTTCGCCTGTCTGGGTGTTGCTATGGTAATACGGGGCAGTGACCTGGTGACTTGCAGCTCTGTGATGAAGCCTTGTGTATACGCCTGGCGCCGTGGCCCCCACAGGCCCCCGCTGTGCTGATAGAGCAGCCCCGGGCCCTCAGCCGTGGCATGGACAGCATCGGCCCATGGGGTTTCGTAACACAGATACAAAACGGGTAGTGAGGTCCAGGTTTTGTATTATCCCAAGAACGTTGTCTCCGAATGTGATGTATTAAAGTACAAATGTTTAAAAAAAAAAAAAAAAAAAAACTTGTCACATGTATTTCATTACAGAAAAGGATGGTCTTCCATGACTACTGGATTTTACTGGAGGGTTTGAGAAGTAAATACATCACTGGGTGTAGAAACAAGCTAACCGAAATGACAGTAGACTGTGCCAACGCACTGTACCATTCCTTGTGTGAAAGTATCTGTTTATTTGTACAGATTACAGAGGAAACCATAAAAAAAATTCCTCCGCATGGAATAACTTTTTGGTTAATCACCTGGTTTCTTTGTGTGTTGGCGTCATTCCAGAGGGAGGTTGGGATGCATCTGAATGGCTTCGATACACCGTGCCGCGTTTTTGGAATCCACCTTTCTATACTTTTATTCGACTTCTCACGTGCTGGAAAAATATGAACGAAACCCCCCTCTGTGCTCAAAAGTGACTTGCATTCTTCCGAAAGTGTCTTCAGGTTAAGGCTGTCGTCTCTATCCACGATGTTTTCCTGACCGGAGACGGTGCTGGCGATCCTGGTTTTCCATGGCTTTTTGTGACTTGGGGCTCTTGGATATGCCGGTGTGGTGCGTCGCCCTGCCAGGGCGGATTCCAGTGCACACGTGGGATTTCAGGTTTCTCCCGCTCCTCAGACACCAGTGTTTCCAGCTTCATACCAAGCGATCTGCTCTGGAGTCCATGCAGAAGGCAGTTGTTGTTCCTGATGCTCTCTTCACAAAGCTTTTGCATGCAGCCAGGAATGCTGGCTCATAGTTTAACTCCAAATACAATCATGTTGAAATTAAACAAGGCCGCCTCCCTGCGCCAGCTGGGCCCCGAGTGGATCCAGTGAGCCGCCGTGCATCGTGCACTTTGCCGTCGCATTTTGAAGTCTGCAGCAGTTGGACGAGGAGCGACCTGCAGACTCGACATGGACTCCTGCAAGTTGTCATTTGGGATCAGAGGTCAAGGGCTACTGTGTGTTTTCGGAAAGCTAAAACAAAGTGCGGGCATTTCCTCACTGGAGGGGGGGGTGTGGCAGCTCTCTGGTTCACTCACCCCCAGGAACCTGAGCATGGAAATTCAGGATCGCTTTCCTTTTTTCCTCTCTCTGAAGTGTGTTCATTTTTTCTGCGTGTCTGCTTTTTTTTTTGTCAAATTCTTGGCGCAACCACCGGACTGTGTTTTTCCAAAACTGGTTCTCATTTATCGTTTACTCTATGATTGGGGGTGGGGGGGTGAAGGAAAAAATGGTTGAGGGAGTTGAAAAGTCCAATTGGGTCACTTCGTGTCTGTCTGCCTGGCTCTTGGGGTGTGAGACTTGTATGACAAATTAAGCATCATAAAATAATGTGATTTCATTTTAAACACACCCTATATCAGAAAAAAGCATCAAATATGAAAGCTCTGTGAATAGCGCATTTGTTTATCAAAAGATCTGATAGCAGAATGGATTCTGTGTTCAGTTCTCAGCTGACCTCTGAATGCTTTGCTCTCATCCGGCCTTATCAGCCCGTTTCATTGAACTGGATTGAATAATTAATCAAATTTCTGCTCCTCGGATATGGCAGATAATTCCTGCCCGTGTAACACGAGCTGGCGGAGGGCTGTGGGAAAGGACCGCAGTACGGCATTATGGAGCTGGGAAGTTATTTAGACAAACAGCGGGACGCCAAAAGGAGTCCTGCCTCGCCGCTGAGAGCCTTTGTGTCTGGTCGCCCACACCCTGTGTACGTGAGCCTGTGGGAGACTTTACCCAAACAACCTACACAAGCGTTTACTGGATTTAAAATGGAAGATGCCAAACGTACCCCACCCCCGATGAAGGAAGGTCTTTTTAATTGGCTCCGGGGGGAAGTGGCCATAGTTGGGCTCACGTAGGATGTTTATTGTTGGCCAAGTGTTGCTCGGTTAATGTGCTTGTTTCATGCACTAAGATAAATACCCTCACCTTCACTCGCTCGTTGACACAGACCTCGTACAGGAAGTGCCACCTGCACGATGTCATCGGCCGGTTGCTGAGGAACCGTCCTTCCCGGTCGGTGCCTGAAGCTAAGCTGGATGAGAAAGGCGGTATGGAGAGCCCCCACTGGCCAGGGGGAGGAGAGGAGACGGGCCGGGGGCAGCACAGGACGACAGGGCGTGGACTGGCAGCCCATCTCCCACCTGCGGGAGGTCAGGCAGCCCTGCCACTGCGGAGACAGTCACGCACTGATTACCCCCCCCACCCCCTGCCGCTCCCGTCATAGACGGTTAGCTTCCTGAGCGAATGGCCGGGAACCAGCCGACAGATTGCAGGAAATTGCAACTCCAGGCCCCCCCTGGGAGAAGAAAGAGAAACAAAAACAAAAAACAAAGCAGCAGAACCTCACGACGTGCCCCCCCTCGCCCCGCCCTCGGCACACCCACCGCTGAGACTGCTGTCGCTTTCACACGTAGGAGAACAGCTGTAGGCCTCATGGGGGGGCTGGGGAGGGAGGACAGATGAGGCACTCAAAGTCTTCTCCTGCCCTAAAACAGCCACTGTAACAGGGGGGGGGGGGGTGTATGCTATTTAGTCAGTGAGGATGGGGTTTATGCGTCCTTACAGATCATTCATTAGCCACTTAAAGAGCACCTCCCAGCTGCAGGATCAATCACCAGTAAAACCACATTCCTCCAAGTAAACAAGACACTAGATCTCTAGCAAATGATGAAAAATGATCCCTAAGGGACCCACCTGGGGGATCAACCACAGTCTGCGTACTGCAATCTTGGGCACGATTATAAACCCTCATAAAATAATAATTGATCAAGTTCCTAATTTCCTCTGTAACAAGCATGGGAACGTTTCCGCTTCCTGCTCTGTGGGTCCCTACCTGCAAGAACAGTATCTGACGGATTCCTGATTAAGCGCCCGTCACGACAACCACGAAGCCAAAAAACGTTACTGAAACTGCATGGTTTGCATGACGCTGCGGAACCATTTGCCGCATGGTTGTTTGGTTGTGGGATGGGTGTTGTAGTGAGTTGTGGGTCCAAATCTGGTCCTGAGCCTCTGACGTGTATGTGTACTAAAATCCTCTGGAACTTCTCCGTACAGCAGAGGAACCAGCCTTGTTGTTTGAACAGCTCGATTTAATTTTAGAAATTAAATTAAAATAACAATAACTTCTTTACATTTGTAATACAAACCTCTATTTCAGCATTTTGAATCCAGGTGAATGCAAATGATAATATGACCTTACTGCTTGTTACTGTGCTGTTAAAACTGTGGGTGGAAGAGAAAGGTTTATTTGTAATGAAATTCTTGGTGGCAAATTCGCTGTGCTGGATCAAGCACTTATTTAAGGGAAATCCTGGACCGTACATGAAGGTGGTGGTGGCGGGGGGGGGATTGACCTACCATTTGAGTGAGCTTGAGTCCCCACCCATTTTCCAAATCCGTAAGTTACAAGTCAATCTCTCAACTTATATTTACCCAGAGGATCAACAGATTATGTAAACCGCATCACGCTGTGGTTTAAGGATTTGCTCGTAGCTGATGCGTCGATCGGTTTGTTTGTGGACTGTAAATCTCCTATGGATATCAGGCAGACGTGACACCCCGCCCCCACTATGCCAGGGTAACCACGGCACCAAGTGGCTCGCCTCCAAAATTTCTTCGGAAAATTAAATGTCAGCATGAGGGAGCTGTGGTAGTCGGGGGGGGTGCGGCAGTGTTCTGAAGTGGCTTCAGAGTCACGCGTCACCGGGGGGGCCGGCAGGGGGTGGCCGGGATGCCTGTTAACTGACCAGTGCGTCTGCCCGCCAGTCGGTGTCAGAGAGCGATCATATTGCCCTGAACACGGCACAGACGGCAGGTGTTTATGTGATACTCGCCTCTGATTTCTGACAGAACCACCTGCTTTAACACCTAATAAACACACAGAGAAAATCATTTATGTTTGTGACCAGGGGTGTACATCACAATTCTGGGCCCCTGAAAAAATGTCGCCCATATTCAAGGGTCCCAGAGTATCCATGTCCCTCTGGGAGTCCTGTTTGCGACCCAATAACGAAACAACCTGCACAAATGACAAAAAAAAACCCAAAAAAGCTGGAAAAGGGCCTGACTATGTATGTCAGGGTCCCTGGAGCCTGTTCCAGGCGGCATGGGGAACGGGGAACGGGGCAGTGGACACCCTGGGTGGGATGCCAGTCCAGTGCAGAACAACTTCATATATTTCATATTACATTTGCTTGATGCCACAGAAGCATTGATGAAACTTCAAGACCGGTATTCATTCCAAGAAGCAAACCAGATCCGATGCCTCTGGTCATCCGTGTGCGGCCGTCGGATGGCGGAGGACCTGAGTTCCTTTGGTGGTGTCATGTGACATCGTAGACCATGCATCTGAGAGCGCAGCCACATAAGGCAGCCTGCTCGTGGAGGCGTGGCTCAACGTGATTGGCCGCTTGCGGGCGACCTCATCCCTTCTGCACCACCGCTTATACGCCCGCATCAAACAAGCTTATAAAATCCTCATACAATAACTGTCGTTAATTACTTATTTCAGGCATGGTGGATTATTCCTGACTGTTGGTGAATTAAAAAAAATATATTATAATGAAATGGTGCCCAGATTTAACTTTAAAGAGCACCGAGAAGGGACAGAAAATATAACATGGCACCCGAGAGCAACAAACAAACAAAGCCGCTTGGTTCTTTAAAGGACATAAATAATGTAATGGGATTAATGGCGTTAGGGGCCCACCTGAGGGGGTTACATAATCAGGTGATTATTGATGTCTGTGTGTGAGGTATCTCCCAGGAACACCTGGCCCTGCTCCACTGCAAGCGTGTGCTGCAGCCCTGAGATATGAATATTCCTGTCATGTAAAAAAACACCCTAAAAATAATCAGCCTCTGGCATTTTGTAAGCTATATTAATCCACAGATTTTGCATTAAATATTTATAGCGTGGGAGAGTTCGTCGTTGCGAAGGTGATTAAAAAAAAGGATTTGGGGTGGCTGGTGAACCCTTGGAGAGCTCGCTGTTTTTGTTGAATGGTTAAAAAAATCCCCTGTTTTATCATTTATGGAGAGAGCAGCTCTCTCTATAAATGATAAAACCTGGATAAACCTGCTCTGTGCCTCCCAGCCTGTCACTGCCGACATGCACAGTTTCCGTGTTGGTACCTCTGTGTGTGTGTGTGTGTGAGCCAATGAACATGTTTGTGCATGTGTCTAGTGCTAGAATGGGTGAGTAACAGTGAGGATCTGAAGGACCTCAAAATACACACCTAGAGAA